CCTCAGAGCTCACGGCAAGAAGGCAGGTGAAGAGGCGGCAACCCCGTGCCTTTGACGACGCAGGATCCATCCATCGAGTAAGAAGGGGAGGAGCTGCACCTCTGCTGGGCCTCCTGAGGAGTGGGGCGCCGGCCTCCTCTGGGTTCAGGGGGAAGCTGACAGAGGCTCAGCCAATAGAAAGTGGGGTCTGGAGAGGTCACTGCAGGTGACGATCAGGGAGGCCTTCCCGTGGCACGCTCTCACTGTACAGTGCCCCGGTCAGCCCGGAGGACTCCTGGGCAAGCGCAGGGGCAGGGCCCCCAGGAGGGCCTGCCTTCTCCAGGCACCAAGCCCTGGGGAACCCTCAGCAGATGGCTGCCCAGAACTGGGGTCCCTTCTGCAGGCCACGGGAAGCAGCGGCTCCTTCTCCACCTGGGGCTCCAGGCTGCGCTCTGGAGGAGAGCCCTGACTAGGCTGGTTGTGCGCCACAGAGACTTGTTCCTCCTGGCACCTTGTCTCAGGAGCATGTGTTTTCTGCCTGTGAGCTCCATGCTGCGTGCAGAAATAAACAAAGCATCAGTTTGTGATTCCTTAGTAATATCTGCAAGAAGTTAAACCTTATAACATCTGTAATTGTGCCTGGAAACATTAACTGGGCAGATGCCCTGGACCTGCTGGAGAGAGGCTGCAGGAACAGAGCTCGCAGGGCCTGCCTGCAGGTCTCGTGTGAATGAAGCTCCTGGTGTTGTACAGTGCACTGTGTGCACAACAGTGCCTGGTGACCCTCTGTGACAGACAGGGAAGTCAAGAGCGCCAGAGAGGGAAGGGCTGGCCATAGTTCATTCATTCCACAGCGTGGGAATATTTAAGCCTAGATGTGGGTGGTCCACAGTTCAACCTAGAGCTGAACATTGCTAAGTACCTCACATGATAACTAGCAATATCCAGGGCTCCAGGATCAGTAGAAGGGTGTTTGATCTCCAAAGCCGTCATCGGGATAGATAAAGAATGTACGGCTAAAAAGCTAAAGAAAAGGAAATGAAATCATAAACAAGAAGCCGAGAAGGGGAAGGGAGGGCAGGAAAGCAAACCTGAGGAACACGAGGCCAACCCAAGCACATTGGCAAATTCACATTGAGGGTCAGAGTTTGCATCCTAAACAAAGCCCAGCTTCATGCTGCTCAAAATACGAGCGGAACGCAGGACGTCGACAGAGTGAAGGGTGCAGAGGGTGCACAAGGCAGGTGCTGAGCAGCCTCCGTGCGGCCCCACCAAGGTCCAACGCAGAACCCTCAAAGGCAAGAAGCGTCACGGGAGAGAAGGGCGCTGCTCGGTGCTTGAAGGAAACCCCCAAGGAGACAAGCCCCAGCTCTCTGTGCCTCTGATGATATCGCTTCCAAATGTGCAAAGCTAAGTGGACGGAGTGTCCAGAAGAGACGGACGCACACACACTCACGGGACAACAGACGTCTGACAGGCACGGTGACCAAGAGACGGGAGACGTTCACAGGTGAAAACCACAGAGACAGGAGGTCTGTGCCCCCCACAGACACACAGACCCACGCACCCCACAGAGGCAGACCTGTGTTCAGAGCATAAGGAAAATCCACTAAAAGTGGCCTACACTCACCCACAAAGCAAATTCCCACGAAGTTTCAAAGGATCAAACAGAATTTAACTAGAATCCATTACTAGCAAATCCCCAAATATTTACAAATTAAGAACTTAGGCAACGCATGAGAGCTCTTATTAACAGGAACAAGAGCGTCCACGCGGTCCACGCGGTCCACGCGGTCCACGCCTTCAAGAGCTCAAGGTCTGTGGGGGAAGAGCCATTGTGCTGGTGGACAGGGCTGAGCGCGGACTGGGAAGCTAGGAGGCCTTGTGCATGCTGGGCAGGGGGACAGCTCAGGTCCTCGGAGCTGAGGACAGTGGCAGGAAAGACCTCGGAGGAGGAGACACGTGAGGCTAAGCCTTGAGGAGTGGAGGGGCGTGTTGAGGCAGAGTCTGGAGAAAGCGGCTGGAGCAGAGGGCAGTGGGAGGAGGCCGCAGCAGGCAAGCTCACGAGGACGGAGCAATGGACGCACAGCCCGGGCAGCATGCAAAAGGGACAAGGGGCAGCTGAGGGCCCCACTGAAAGGCCAGGTGGTCTGGATGTCACTTTGAGCCCCACGGAGAGTCAGGTTGGAGCCAGGGTAAGCCTGGAGGGGGGGGGAAGCGAACTGAAACAGACCACGAGGCGGGAGAGAGCCCACTCCCTGGCAGCAGGAAAACCCAGGCCTCCCTCCCAACAGAGCCACCCACACCCCCTTAGCAGCAGCCTAACAGTGCAGGAAGTCAACGCCTAATCGCGCCCTTCAAAGTTAATGCTCCAAAATGGGAAATGTGTGTTGAATGTTTAGTCTCATCTCCGCCACCCAAGCCCCAATTTAAAAGCTAAATCTTTTTAAAATAGAACGAGACAAACCCCTTAGACACAGCTCAGACCCTCAGAGTCCCACGGTTTTCTTTTGCAAATACACCTTTCCTTGCATATCCTGTGTCTCTGGCAGAGTGGGCCCCTGACCTGAGCCCCTCTTGAAGGAATCCCAAGCAGTTCCCAAAGCTTCTGGCCCCTTCCCAAGCCTCCTGCGTAGAGCCCAGCAGCCCTGGAGCCAGGTGGCTGGAAAGGGACCTGGGGCATGACTGTGTCCCTTCCCCTCAT